GATGAATATCATTGTGTGCAAAGCCATTTGATGCAGAGAAATCACTGTAGCTGCAGCTTCTATTTGCAACATAAAATTGACTTGGTTGGTGGGGAGTGGGGGAGGGGGAAGGCAGAAGGTGATTTATGCAATTTATCTCCAATACAGTCTCCCTGGAAGCTTGATTAATAAAATTCAGCATCCTGATGTTGATTATTTAATCAGTTCTTTGGCTACATGTCTGGCAAAAGTGTGTTTAGCCACAAAGGTGGATAAACACACATTTCCTTCCAGAAGATAAATTGTCCAGATTTCACCTTTTCTAGGGGCTTTCAATCCTGCCCAAGGCCCAGTGCTCCTCACATATCTGCCTGGACACCACTGCCCAGCATCTGCCCCACCTCCTCCAAAGGAGAAGACCAGTCAAAACAAACAAAACCAGGTAGGGAAGGCAATGGCCTTCTAAGTATTGTCACTGGGAGGGATTTAAGAACCTGCCAAGCCTGCTGGGTTCTCCTATGCAGGCTGGCCAGTCAGTTTTAAAAAAAGGACAGCAGGGGGACTGGAAGTGAATGTTGATGATCTCCTCCCCAGGGAGATTCTAATACACCCTGAAGGCAAACTACCCTAATCTCCCCTCCTTATCTTCCTGCTATTTTCTCTCTAAGACCCTTGATCTCCTGGAGAAAAATTACTTTGGAAATTGGGTGGGAAAATGAATTGTTCCTTCCCACCCAATACTAAAAGGTAACATAACCTTGAAGTTACCAAGTGATTAGTTGGGGGAAAAGAAGCTAAGTGGGGATGAGAGAGGCCCTAACTCCTGACCCCAACATCAAGAGTAGAGTCACTCCCAAGGCCTTTTCTAACTGGTGGTCATCTCCTGGAGGCTAGCTGGTGTCATCATAACAGCAGTTAATCTTACATAGTCCTTGACATACTTCAGCTTATTTAAGGCACAAAACAACCTTGCTGGGGAGAGATATTGTTGTGGTTGAGTAATTTCAGTCCCATCTGACTCCTTGTGACCCCATTTGGAGTTTTCTTGGCAAAGATACTGGAGTGGTTTACCATTTCCTTCTCCGGCTCATTTTATACATGAAGAAACTGAGGCAAACAGGATGAAGTGACCTGCCCAAGGTCACACAGCTAGCAAGTGCCACAAGTAGGATTTGAACTCAGTTCCTAATGACTCCAGAGCCAGTGAGCTCTTCACTGAACAGTTAAATGACTTGCCTCAGATCACCTACATAAATGTCAAAGGTAGGATCTGACCCCAAATCCTCCCGACACCAAATCTAGCGCTCTAGCCTCTATTCCAGTGAAGTCAAACTCAAACTGAAATAGATCCCTGCCTACGGCATATGTCGCATTGTATTTTTATTTATTTTGTTAAACCTTTCTCAGTTACCTTTTACTCTGGTTTCCTGCAGCACTTGGGAGCTTAGTGGCTGGCCTACTGGCCTGGAGTCTGACACCTCTGCTTTCCTCCGAATTGCTCTTCGGCATCGGCCCAGAGAGTCCTGGGCTTGGAATGGACACCAGCAGACCCAGGTTCCAATCCTGCCTGACTAACTGGGCCAACCTGGGCAAGTCATCCAACTCCTTCAATTTCAGTTTCTTTACCTGTTAAAAAAAATGAGGGACAACTACACCCAAACCAATATTAAGTTAAGGCAGAGAAGTTTGGCACACTTTAAAGCAACATAGAGATGTCAGTTCTGCTGTGCAGCTCCTGCCTCTGAAGTCAGCTCTCTGGGAACTGGCGCTCACAGTTCATCATCCCCCCTTCACAACCTCTTTACAGGGTTAGTATTGAAAACGAGGTGGGATGTGGAGTCTATAGAACTTTCTAAGACTTCTGAAACTTTTGGCTGGAGAAAATAGCCCTGGAAAGTGTCGTCGGGAAGTTCCTGGCTTCCCAACCTCTCCCCACACTGGGTAACTCCCCAGGGCTCCTTTTCTTCCCCTGGAACCTTTATTTTGGGGTGGTGGGCACCAGGTTCTCTCAGTCTCTGGGGCTCCCACCTCACAGAACTGTTGTGATAATCTTTGTAAAGCACTTACTAGCATAGAACCTGGCACTTACACAAGAAGCGCTTTTCCCCTCCTCTTCACTGCCAGGGTTTCTCCACAATGCCCACATTACCCCCATCCTCAGAACCTCCTTTGCTTTTATCTTTGAATCAGGGAGTCCCTCTTACGTCCCACGTAAAGTTTTGTTCACTTCTTCCTTCACCTTCCTCCTTGGTGGTGAAGAGCCATCCTCAATCCTCCCTCAGGTACCCCACGGAAGGCTGACAAGGGGGAGAGAGGCACCTCCCAGGTATCTAACAGCCCTGGGGCCCTAAGTGCCAGAAGTAGGCCTAGTTTTCCCTGCCTGGTGCATTATTCAGGTATCCTACCTTTCCACTGTCCTGGAGGCTGCTTCTAGTGCTAAATCCCTAGGAACAACAGAAGGAAATTGGAGGTGGCCTTGTGTGTGTGTGTGTGGGGGGGTATGTTCTTGGCCCTATAGGCACCTTTCTATGGGCCCTTCACAGCCCTACCCCTTCACCTTAATGGGAATGGGGGGGGGGGAGGCTTATCACAGCCTCTAATAGGTGAATAGAGACTAGGAGAGCAGGTTGGAAGATTTGGGATAATTCAGAGGGTGTCTAACTGGGAGTCAGGGCGTTTAATAAATGCTCTTAAAAATCTCTGAATTCGGGGCAGCTAGGTGGCACAGTGGATAGAGCACCTGCCCTGGATTCAGGAGGACCTGAGTTCAAATCCAGCCTCAGACACATAACACTTACTAGTTGTGTGACCCTGGGCAAGTCACTTAACCCCATTGCCTAACCCCCTGCCCCCCCCAAAAAAATCTCTGAATTCCAAAGCTGTCTTTAACACTTGCTAGTTGGGTGACCCATGGGTGGGTATGTTTCCTAACTTTTATGAATGAGCCTCACATTCCTCATCTTAATAAATAAATTCCTCCTAATAGCTCTGAGTAACTACCTCACAAGGTTGTTGTGAGGTTCAGAGGTGTTGGGGTGGGGGGAAGGAGGCAGCAGGTTGATGGGGCAAGTTAACAGAGACAATAAGGTGGGCTATTTCAGACTAGGAGGGGCCCTTTTGCCCCTGTCAGCCAGAAGTAAGACGGGTCCCTCTGCAATGAGGAACCTATTGCGACTGCAATTGATTTCGGGTACACTCTGCTTGGAGACACTGGCCTGGAGGCTAAGGAATACTGTGGGGATACAGATAGGCTTCCGCAGGGGGAATGCAGGGAGGCCCCGCTTCCAAATACAAAGCTGAAGGTTACCTCCTTACCCAATTTGACAGAGATTTTTCTTTGGAGTGAATCCCTGGCTCACTCAATCCCGGGGGTAGGAGGGTATTTTCTCTATCCAGTTCCCCAACAGAAGGACAATGAAGTCAAGCATCTTCCACAGCTTCAATTTCCTTATCTGTAGGACATCTAACACCTAACAATCCTAACAGCCTCTGCGCCGAGGACCCTCGCCAGGGTCTCTCCTCCACCTCCCATCTAAGGCAAGGGGGCTACAGTTCCCTTTGAGGGGTGGAGCCTTGTCCTTTAGAAATTACAGTTACACCCTGGGAGGTCAGGGCCCGGGCCACCCAAGAGGGAGGGAAAGTCTCTCTGGATGGTCCTAACACCAAGAACTCACCTGCCTGGGGGGAGCTGCCTCGTGGGTAGCCAGGCTCATGCCCGGGTAGGACAGGGTTAACTCTGCGGGGTCCCCAAGAACGATCCCTCCCCGGTGAGAGCCTAGGAGCTGTAGCGCCCCCTCCCCCAAGCTCAGTTAATGGAAAACATGGTCCCCGGAGGGGAGGGCTCTCTCCCTCCTCTAAGTCTGAGGACGCCAGGGGGAAGGAGGGGTAGGTGGGAGGGGCCGAGCAGTGGGAGTTCTGTTCCCCTCCTATTTTGCGAGGGCAGGGGAGGCTCAGGGCACGTGTCCCTCTCCGACCCTCACCCCACAAACCAGAAGTCGCCCCGGGCTCCCCGCAGTCACTGGGGCACCCTCCAGGAGGGATGGGGCGGGGCGAAGGTAGGGGAAGGAGGTCCCCCTCTACCAAGGGGCGGGGCCACAGCGGGTTATTCCAAACACACCACGGGGGGGGGCGCCACGAGATGCTTGGTTTCCAGAGGGGGCGGGGCCACTCCTGGGTTCTCCTCGATTTGGGGGAGGGGGTCCCCTAAACCCCAAGGTCCAGACAGTGCTAGCACTCTCCCTAGCTCAGGTTCTCGCCAGCCTACCCCTCTTTGGGGAGGTGGGGGAACGTAGAGGCGTGGGTTTGTCTGGGCGGGGGCTGAAGCCTGGGGGAGTTGCCCACCCCCCCGCCCTCCCATGGGGACAGTAGGAGGCGGCCCCCCGGCCCCGCCGCGCCCCCGCCCGGGCTCCCCGGCCCCCGAATAAAGTCCCTCACTTCCTTTGGTAATTACAGGCTGGCGGAAATACGTCAGTTGTTATCTGCTCTGGGCTTTGCTGCACTGTACAATTCAGAAGGAGAGGAAATTTCCCCCCTCCGCCCGCCTGCCTGTCCTCCCTCCCGCCCTCAGCCGCCGCCGCCGCTTCTGGCCCTTTAAGAGCCCGGATCCAGCCCGTGGAGCCGCCGAACCGGGGGCATTTCGGCGGGGCCTGGGGGGCAGCGAGGCGGGGGACCGCTCCCCGGGAGAAGGCGTCGCGGGTGGGGGAACGACCATGGGGAGACAGATCCCCGAGCCGCGAAGGGGAGAGCAACCACGCTGAGAAGCTTCCCGTCCAGAGGCCGTTCCGGCGGGGGGGCGCCCTGACACCCCCACCCCGCCCCCCCATCCCCCCAAGAATCTCCTGCCGCTGCCCCCGAGACGGATGAAAGTTCTCGAGAGGACTGGGGGGGAGAGGCCGAGCCGAGGCTGGGTCTGTCCGCTGACCCCCCCACCGGGCGTGTGACCTCGCCCCCTCCCACCCCCTCCACCCCTCGGGGCTTCGGGAGGGGCGGCAGGGGCTGGGGCAGCCCGGCCGGCCCCCAGCCCCGTGCGGCCCGCGCGGCCCTTGCTACAAAGTTGCAAAGCCCCCGCGTTCCGGATGGAATTCTGTGTTGCAGCTTAGTCCCGAAGGCGGAAAGAAGGAGGGCGCGCGGGCGGGAGAGGAGCCGCCGAGGGGAGAGCGGAGCGGCGGGGGAGCCTGTGCCTGCTGCGGCCGCTGGGCTATTGACTCCCAGACGTTGGAATAGTCCTCCGTTGGGGGGGGCGACCTTTGCCCGACCCTCCCGTCTTAATTTTTAAAAAAAATTTCCCCGGGGGGCGGGAGACTTGTGAGTTATACGGTGGGGGGGGTTTACTCCATTTTTAAAAAACCGTCCTGGGGTTTGGAGTCAAGGTCATCGAGTGGCTTTTCCGTGGCTGTGGCGTCTCACCCCGGTGGATCCCTAGGGGCAGCGAGGAGGACTGCCTGGCGTGGGGCTGCAAGCACGGCCGGGGCCGTGGAAATGGATGGGAAGGTCCGGCAGAGCCGCCGGTCTCGATCCCAGAGGGACCGCGTGAGGCGGAGGGAGGCGGCCGCCCGCGAGGCCCGGAATCAGAGCCCGTCGTCCGGCTCTGAGAGGGAGGCCAGCCCGGGCAAAGAGAACACGAGCCAGAACTGCGCGCACCCCCGGGGCGCGGCGACGGCGACGGCGGTGGCGACGGCCGCCCCCCGAAACGCACGCCCCCCGCGCCGCCGGCGCCGAGAGTCCAGCTCCCAGGAAGAGGAATTGATCGATGGCTTTGCAATTGCCAGCTTCAGCACCCTGGAGGCCTTGGAGGTAAGAGCGGGCGTGTGGGGGGGGCGCGGGGCTCCCCCTTCCCTTAACGCGTCTGGGGGCTTTGAAGGGGAGAGGAGAAGAGAGGGTGTTTACTTTCTGGGGTTAGAAATGGGAGGGGGCTGTGCTTCTGGGAGGTTGACTCCAGAGGGCTCTCCGGAGCCCTACAGGCCCCTCCTACGCTGGGGGCCCCAAGGCTGTTTAGGGGCCCACCCGTTGCGGATCGTCTGGTCTAGTCAGGGACTGATAAGGTCTATAAACTTGGACCTGGTTAATGGGGCCGGCAGGTTAGACACCCCTTTGCTGAATGTAAACACTGACTCCCCACTCTCTATACCCAATACCCCCGGCCCCTGAGGGTCGATGACTGGAGCGTTCCTCCGGTGGGTGTCTGGTTTGGAATTTCCTGAAGCCTCCCTTGTGGGGCAACCCTCCTTTTTCGGAACCGATGCGGGGCGGGGGATGAGCGAGGTTTTTACAAAATACAGTCAGCGTCAGACTGGGCCGGGGTCACCTGTCCTTGTTGGCACCAGTGGGTCAAGACTGGACCGTAAACCTTTTAGACCTCCCCGTTCACTAAGGCCCTTGCGTATTGCCAAATTGTTACATTATCTGCAGCCAGAGATAGTGGGGAAATGGATACTGTGGGATGTTTTCTGGGGATAAGATGTTGAAATGGCTGATTTCCACTCCCTTGTTTCCCCCCTCCCCTTGGGAGGGGGAGAGAGTGTGTGTTTAATGGGAATGTATATGTGGGGGGGGGGCTGACTTTTAGAAAGTCTCTCTTCATGTTGACGACATATTTGCCAGGGGTTAATAGGTTGTCAAAAAATATTGCTTGTCTGGAGAACTTATTGTGAACAACATTTACCGAGCAAATTCACCTCTTTTTGTCTGAACTCTTAAGCAGAGAAGGAAATGCAATCTTTTCTGAACCAGGATGACCAACCAGGGCTGGGCCTGGCTTGGAAGGCTTTCGGAGGAGGTTGTGGTTTTTCCCCGGGTGGGGTCTGGTGTGTGTGAGGAATCTGGGTCTGGGTAGGGCTGAGCCTTGTCCAGTCTGGAGTCGAGTCTCCTAGGGAAGTACCAGCTCAGGTGATTTTCGGAGGCCCAGGTTGTTGGCTGCAGTCGGGCTATCAGTCAGTGGAAGAGCTCCTGCTGACCTGGGCAAACTTCGCCCTCCCTCCTGGAGCAGCTAAGGACCGGGGCCTGGGTGTTTGGGTCTTTCCATGATTTGTGTCTAAGTAGATTAGCAACAATAGTAATTGTTGCTTTATATAGCAGCTTTATACATCTGATCTCATTTGATCCTTAGATGTTCCCTGAGGTAGATCATGAGGTCTCTGTTTTTATTCCCATGTTACAGGTGGGGAAATAGAGCCTCCAGCCAAGGGAAGTGACTTACCCAGAGTGGAAAGCAGGGCCTTGAACTCAGCCCTAAATCCCAGTCTACACCTCTTTTCGCTCTCTGCTGATGACTACCACTAATTTGGGGGTCCTTAGGGCCTAGCTGGAATTCTCTAATCTGTTTTTCTGATTTTTTTCTTTTGTGTGGCATTCCAAGTGTCCCTATCTAGCAGCAAGGTCTCAGTTTGCTCCTAGACCTGCCTGGGCCATGGTTGAGACATCATAGAATTTCGGCCTGGCCAGGATCCCTGAAAATCGGTCCAAGTCCCTTCTTTTTACATATAAGGAAACCTGGCCCAGAGAGCTTGTCATTCAGGCTTGACTATTGACTTGTGGGGCTCGAGAAGAAGGTGGACCTTGGGTAGTATCTGTGACTGGTCCAGGGGAGGGGTGGAGATTGGGCTGTCTCTGTGGCCTTGCTGTTCCCTGAATGAGATAAATGCCTGGTCTTGGACTTGTGGGTTTTGCTCTCAGTAGGGTGATTCCCTTCTTACATTGTAGTCATTTACATTTATCTTTCTTCTCTTAGAAAGGGAGCTCTTTGAGGGCAGGGGCTGGCTTTTTGCCTCTATATTCCCTGTGCCTGGTACACATTAAGAGCTTAATAGATGCTTTTTGCTTGACTAAGTAGATCTATGTGGGAGTAATCACTCTCAGCTATATCGTCACTCCCTTTGGAAGTCTTGCCAACCATTTATTAAGCGCTTGCTGTATGCCAGCCACTGGACTAAGCACTCAGATACAAAGAAAGGCAAAACCTTCACATTGTAACTTGTATTAAAATGATTTGATGATAGACCCATAGGATTCAGAGCTAGAAGGACCTGAGGCCTCCCTCATTTTACAGATGGGGACATCAAGGCCCCCCAAAATTCTGTTGAACCAAAGGCCTTTGGCTCTAAATTTTCAATCATCCTCAATTGGTGTAGATTCTGAATCTCATACTGAATGATAAATTAGTAGAGCAATTGAAGTATAGTGTATGGAGCTCTGATCTTGGAGTCCAAAAGAGCCTAGTTTGAATCCTGCCTCAGACTCTAGGAAACCTTTGTGCCCATGAGGCTTAGCTCAGGTGGTGCAGTCATCCTAGCGCACACGACCCCCCCGCCAAGTTCCACATACTCTTGAGCTATTATTATTATTGTTATTATTGACTGGCTGTTGAACCCCTCAGTGGAAATCGGTCTCTGAGAGGGACACCCAGGGAAATAATATTTATCTGAGGTGTCTGCATTGAGAGTGACATTTAAAACAGAAAGCTTCCTTGGGGTTAGGGGAACCACTGATGACTAAGAATGGCCCTTATCCTCATCATACCGAGAGAATTTGAAAATGCCCAAACTTCCTGCAGCCAACCAGCATCGGTAGCCTAGAGAGTTAAATTTAAGCCCAGTGGTTCTTTGGAGCATAAATTGTAAGCTCCCTGAGGGCAGAGGTCAAACAGCCAGTCCTGTGTCAGAGGCTAGACTTGAACCCAGGTTTTTCCAGGCATGAGGCCACCCCTCTCTCCACCACACCCACCGCTCTGCCTGGCAGCTAGGGTGTAATCAATGCTTGTCGTTGGGGAGGTATTCCTCCTTCATTGTAAAGGATGGGAAATAGAAGCTAATGTTGATTTCATTGGAATGTGCTACTATATGAGCAAAGAAAGGGATATCTGGATCCTTCCTTGGAAGGAGAAGAGGCATCATGCTATGGGGAAAGAACTCTCAACGTGGAATTAGGCAGTTAGTTAGGGTTCAAATCTCACCTGATCCCGTGGATAATCAGTGGCCCCCAGGACTAGACTTAACACTTTCATTTCTCTCCGGGTTCTGCCTCCTGAAACACTTTAAAACCTTACATTTCTGAATAAATATTAGCTATTATTAGAAAGTGCTAGGTATCAGTGTAGTTCCTACATTCAAAATTAGGGTCTCTTTTTTTTTTTTAAACAAATTACTCTCTCCCTACTCCCTTCCCCCAAAGATTCACTGTCTCCTTGCTAGAGCAATTGGGTCTTATTTAGGGATAGAAGGGACATAGAGATCCAATCTAACCTCATAGTACTGGAGAGAAAATTTTGGCACTACAGAGGTTTAAGTGACTTGTCCCAAAACCCCTCAGGGAGAAAGTAGTAGAAATGGGATTTGGACCCAAGGCCTCTGACTCCAAATGTTTCCACTGTCCCACACTTGTTCTCGGTCTTTGTAACTGACTCATGGTACCTGGTTGTTCAGAGTCTGAGCTGGGCATATCTGCCGGGTCATCTGAGAAAGAGAACATTTCCCAGATCCAAAGGCTCTGGTGACAAGTGGGTCACACTCTCTTCTGACAAAGGAGAGACAGCGTCCCATTAAAGGATCCCCCTTTTCTCCAATTTTTGGAAGCTCTGATGGACTCAGTCTTATGTATGGGAAAGGAAAAGATGGTTTGAGGCGAGTTCCCCACCCTTGGTTTGAGGGCTGGCCTGACTGACTTTCTAGACCCTGGTTTCTTCCCCTTTTTGTGTGTCCTGGCCCCCTCTAGCCATCTGCTGAAATTTCTCAGAATCGTGGTTGTAAATGCATAAAATACACTGAATTGCAAATGAAACCAATTCTATTGGAATGTAGTTACAAAAAAAAAAATTTTTAAAACAAGGCCAGATTAAGAACTCTTGCTCCCAGAAAAAATCAGCTATCTCCTTTATTTCCCTCTCCTTTCTTTAATTCAGCCCAAAATTAGTGGACTCCGATTGTGCAGACATACAAAGAGAACTATAGCCCCTGCCCTCAGGGATCTTACCTTCTGTTCTCTGTCCTTACCCAAGCTTACCTTTCACCTTAGACTTCTTAGGAAGAAGAACCCTAGGGAGTGGAAAGAGAAAGGGGGAGGGGCTGGCTACTGGTAGGTGTCCCTTCCTCCCTAGATTTCTGTCTCCCCCAGGGTTCCATCAGCTTCCTTATTTGGTTCAGTTTTTTCAGTCATATTCAATTTTTTGTTGATCCTATATGGGGTTTTCTTGGCAAAGATACCAAAGTGATTTGCCATTTTATTTTGCAGTTCATTTTACAGATGAGCAAACCAAGGCAAACAGGGTTAAGTGACTTGCCCAAGGTCACACAGCTAGGTCAGATTTAAACTCCGGAAGATGAATCTTCCAGACCCCAGGCCCAGTGCTCCCTCTCCACTTCACTGCCTCCTTATGTGGAGGGATCCATAAATGCCTGCGTTCTAAAGCTTTCATCCTCAGGACTCTGTATGTGGGCACTCTCTGCCTTTGGGAGGGGACCACGAATAGGAGGGTTGGGTATAAATGCTCATCCTTATCCTGGGCAGTCCCATTTCTGAGCGCCCACTTCCTACCTAGTGAGGATGCTGAGAGGGCTATGTGGGGTAGCAGAAAGAATGCTAGAGGTGGAATTCAGAAGCCCTGGGTTCAGATTCCAGCTTTGCTACCTGTTTGACCTTGGGCAAGTAATTTCCTCTTTGAGAACCTTGGTTTCCTCATGTGTCAAATGAAGGGATTGGCTTCCATAGCCTCTAAGAGCCCTTATTGCTCTAAGTCTTTGATCCCACAGCTGTAGATATTTCCTGGGGATGGGGGGAGGTTGTGTTTGATACATCTTGGGGGG